GAATGACCAGATGTTTTTAATTAATGATTGTTTTTATATTTCCAATGACCAAACATGTCAAATAGTGGTGATAAATATATGTTGGCAGATCAGAAACATTTCAAATTAAATACTTTCAGATTATAAAGTATTGAATAAGGTATTTCTACTATTATCACAGATTATGTTAATATCCTTAATCGTCCAGCAATCAGGCTTAACAACAATACTCTTTAATGTATTATCCAAAGTTCCATCTCTCCCCATGTCTCTCTGAGTTTCGTCTCCATTGCTTCAGAAGTTTCCATCACAGTAATTATAGCAAAAGCAGGTGTGTTCTATATCAAGTATTTATTTTAGGGAATAAAAAGCAATTTCTTCTGGAAATGTATTTGAAAGACATATAATCCTATTTAATGTTGGACACTGATTCCTATAGAGAACTATATTTTATGTTGGGTTTTTCATTCACAAATCCAAATATTCTATGAAACCACTAGCATCCTCTGAGTGAATGTTAACAGCTGTCTGAAAAAATATGTTGCTCATACATTTTCCTGTAAATTAAATTGTGTAATGACTTGTTTAATGTTGGTGTTTACGCACTAGCTCTTTTTAAGTGGACTCAATGTATCATTACATTACATTACATTGCATTTAGCTGACGCTTTTATCCAAAGCGACTTACAATAAGTGCGTTCGTCCAACAAAATACAACTTGAAGAAAACAGAATCATATAAGTACATCAGGTTTCATAGAGCAAAAACATTTCAAGTGCTACTCAACTGGCTTTAGAAAAGCCAGTCCTTTATTAGTATAAAAGTGCTTCGTTAATAGTTCTATCGCTCGAAGTGGAGTCGAAAGAGATGAGTTTTCAGTTTGCGCCGGAAGATGTGCAAGCTATCTGCCGTCCTGATGTCAATGGGGAGCTCATTCCACCATCCTGGAGCCAGGACAGCAAACCCACGTGTTTTCGCCGTTGGGAACTTGGGTCCCCCTCGCAGCGAGGGCGCAGCGAGTCATTTGGCTGATGCAGAGCATAGTGCACGCGCTGGGGTGTACGGTTTTAACCATGTCCTGGATGTACGAAGGGCCAGATCCATTCGCAGCATGGTAAGCAAGTACCAGTGTCTTGAAGTGGATTCTAGCAGTTACCGGAAGCCAGTGAAGCGAGCGTAGGAGCGGAGTAGTGTGGGAAAATTTAGGAAGGTTGAAGACCAGACGAGCCGCTGCATTCTGGATGAGCTGCAGAGGTCGGATGGCACATGCAGGTAGACCAGCCAGGAGGGAGTTGCAGTAGTCTAGGCGTGTGATGACGAGAGCCTGGACCAGAACCTGAGTCGCTTTCTGAGTCAGCTGGGGACGTATCTTCCTGATGTTGTAAAGCGTGTATCTGCAGCAACGGGTTGTAGCAGCGATGTTTGCAGTGAAGGACAGGTTGTTATCTAGGATCACACCCAGATTCCTTGCAGTCTGAGTCGGGGAAACAACTGAGGTGCCGATGTTGATTGTTAGGTCAAGAGTGGGACAATCTTTTCCCGGAAGGAAGAGCAGCTCAGTCTTGTCAAGGTTGAGTTTGAGGTGATGAGCAGACATCCACTGAGAGATGTCAGCTAGACAAGCAGAGATGCGTGCGACGACCTGGGTCTCTGAGCGGGGAAAGGACAGAATTAATTGGGTGTCATCAGCGTAGCAGTGGTAAGAAAAACCATGCGGGCTAATGACAGATCCGAGCGAGTTTGTGTACAGGGAGAAGAGGAGGGGACCAAGAACAGAGCCCTGAGGGACCCCCGTAGTTAATTGACAAGGGTCGGACTCAGACCCTCTCCAAGTCACCCTGTAGGTACGGTCTTTCAGGTATGAGGTGAGGAGGGAAAGTGCAGAGCCTGAAACTCCAAGTTTTTGGAGAGTGCGAAGGAGGATCTGATGATTCACCGTGTCGAATGCAGCAGACAGGTCCAACAGGATGATGACAGAGGAGAGGGATGCAGTTTTGGCAGTGTGCAGTTCCTCCGTGACAGCAATGAGAGCAGTTTCTGTGGAGTGACCTGCCTTGAAACCAGACTGGTGCGGATCCAGAAGGTTGTTCTGATTGAGATAACAGGAGAGTTGTTTAAAGACAGCGCGTTCAAGTGATTTAGACAGGAACGGGAGGAGAGAGACAGGCCTGTAGTTTATAACATCAGACGGGTTGAGAGTGGGTTTCTTTAGGTGAGGGTTTACTCTTGCCTCCTTGAGACTGTTTGGAAAGTGACCAGAAGTTAGAGAAGTGTTGATGAAATGGGTGAGAAACGGTAGAATATCAGGAGCGATAGTCTGAAGGAGGTTTGAAGGGATAGGGTCCAGAGGACAGGTGGTAGGGCGGGCAGAGGTAATGAGGGTAAGAACCTCACTTGGAGAGAGAGGGGAAAAGGAGGTAAGTGTGTTGGTGGAAGGAGGGTCTGGTGACCCAGCGGTGAGTAGAGGTGAGTCAGAAAAAGAAGAGCGAATATCATCAACCTTTTTTTCAAAGTGGGTAACAAAGTCGCTTGACAGAAGTGAGGAGGGGGGAGGAGCTTTTGGAGGGTCCAAGAGGGTGGAGAAGATGGAAAATAGTTTTTTAGGATTGGAATAGGAAGATTGGATCTTATCTTGAAAGAAAGTGCTTTTTGCCTGAGAGATCGAAGCAGAGAAAGAGGAGAGGAGAGCTTGATAGGTTAGGAGGTCGTCACGGTGTTTGGATTTCCACCATTTCCGCTCTGCCGCCCTAAGGACGGTTCTATTAGCACACAGTGCATCATTTAGCCAGGGAGCCGGAGGGGACTGACGAGCCTGCCGAGATGTGAGAGGACAGAGCGAGTCCAGAGTGGATGAGAGAGTAGAGAGGAGAGTTTCTGCAGCAGAGTTTGGAGGCAGGAGTTGGAACGAGTCAGAGGAAGGGAGGGCTGAGAGCACCGACGAGGCAAAGGTAGAGTGGGAGAGGGAGCGAAGGTTACGGCGGACAAGTGCAGGATGAGAAGAGATTAGTTTGTTATGTTTGGAAAGGGATAGAGAGAATGAAATGAAGAAGTGATCGGATGTGTGGAGCGGGTTTACAGAGAGGTTAGAAGTAGCGCAGTTCCTTGAGAATATGAGATCAAGGACATTGCCAGCTTTATGAGTCGGTGGGGACGGAGACAGTGAGAAAGCAAAGGCGGTTAACAGAGATGTTAGTTCGTCTATCTTCCCCGTCTGGAGGTTGAAGTCTCCGAGAAGTACAGCGGGAGGGCCAGTTTCAGGGATGTGTGAGAGGAGATTATCTAATTCCTCCAAGAAGTCCCCCAAGGCGCCTGGTGGACGGTAGAGAACAACAATGGTTAGCTGTATAGGATGGGTTACTGTGACATTAGTTCAGACAAGCATGGAGTATTGACCTTGTGGCAGTTCATTTTGTTCATATATTGAACCCACTTAAAGTGTAGGCGAAATCAGCTGAGGCTCTTCAACCCAGCCATGAAGTTATACAGTATGGATCAACATGAATCTCCTTCCAGATTGAACTCTGACTGAAATTGCATTTGGTCAATGTTTTATTACACCTCAAAGACCTTGACCCTGGTGACTGTTAGTAGGGCCTTTTTTAAATGACTGTTATGTTAAGCAGTTTGTCAAAAGTATAGCTTCAGTGGTCACAAGTGGATATGAGAAAATCACATGTTAAAAACTGACCTGATCAAAGCAGTTTCATTTATAAAACGACTTTAAGTTCTGTTATTGGGACAGAGTCAGATGTGGAGTGAGCATGAACTTCTGTCAACTTTTCATTTTAATAAATAAACAAAGCAACACAAGGTAACCCTAGAAATAATTGGTGCCTTGATGAATCAAATGTTTTGAGTTTGAGAGGCAAATATCACCTCTTTAATGAAAATATAGTGTTGAAAGAACCATGGCTGTCTCTGTTGATCTGATTTGTGAATTTAGTAAAAGTGATGGTCAGAGTCTACTAATTAGACTGACATTCAGCTGCAAGTGTGTGTGAATGCCAAAGGTCAGGTAAAGAGCAAGATGCAAACTGCAGCCTTTCCACTAAACTTGCAACTTTAGCACCCCGAAGTGACGAAGAGGCTGTCTGTCTGATCAGCTCTAAATTAGCCGTGAGAATCAGCAGGTTCTCTGTCCTCAGAGGACTGATGGTGATCACAGCAGCATGCTGCAACTGGCCAAATGTCATGTTGCTTATTGTCAGGGGCCAGGGCCGGCCCTTAGAGCGTGCGGGGTTTGAGGGACCTGTGTGGGAAATTACTATGTGTTGCTACAGGGAAGCATTGGTTGTCATCTCTGACATTGTGTGGATCCACATCATTTACACCAACATCACAACCTCTGTGAAATAATATCAGTGTGTATGAAACTTTTATTCACTGCAACCTTTTTCAACTTTATTCTATATTTAAAAAATGTTATTTGTTATATTTTGGCTTTCAGTGTATTTAAATGTAACTTTATTGATCTATTTATTTGTCTTATTGTTTTTTAAAGCACTTTGAATTACCTTGGTGTTAAAAATGTGCTGTATAAATAAACTTGCCTTGTCTTATTAAAGGTGACAATAAAGTGTGTGTTATGGCAGATTGTTGTGGCTTGATATGCATTGTAATAGTCTGATGAATCTATTTGAAAACATTTCAAATATAGTGAAGTTATATCAACAAAAACTGCAACCTGCAAACCTTTAACAGAGGAAAGTAAAGTTAAAGCTCAATGAATCATCTCCACTGAGAGTTTCAGCACTGATATATTTCTGCCTGTGTAATTAGGTAGCTGAGAAGACTATTTTTCAGCCAACATTTGCATCTGCCCCGGGTTAAAGACAAATGGTGTGGTGCGCAAAATACGCACAGCCAGAGGCGCGGTCCAACGAAATCGTGACAATGACTACATTTCGATTAATGCAGCTGGCTTAATGAAAAGTACACGCAACATAAACACAGCCCGCCCCGCAGGAGAGCATAAAAGCAGGAAGCGTCTGAGCAATCCACACCAACAGGACACACTTGGACATTTGTGCCCTGGAGAACAGTTCGCCACTTCGCGCTGAGATGAGAGGGTTTACTCTGAATAACGTTTGCCAGTGTGGCTTATTTGCTTATCTCGTCTTCTTTTCTTTCATGACTTTTACCGTCGCTGTCAGTTTCGACCTGACTGAGCTAAGGAATAAAGTTGCTAAAATCAAAGTGAATCCAAGAGGGAATCTTTGGGCTACAGGTAAGAATCATCATCTATAACAACTATTGATCAATCAGTCATTTGTGTATAGAAATACATTACATGTATGTATTTTAACATATTTGTAAGGTGCAATAGGCTACGTTACATCTTTTAACATGATCACATTATTTTTGCTCTAACAATGTTCATTTTGTCCCTAAAGGATTTCCACCTCGCCAAGTCTGACTTATTTTAATTCTTTATTTGATTTAATTATTTTTTATTAATTATATGTTAACGAGCGTCTTCTTTGATTCGACAGGACATTTCATGGGGAAGAAGAGCGTGATGGATCCCCCCCTGCTGCCCTCAGTGGAGAGGCAGGGGGTTGATGCTCTGGAAGTCTCTCTGCCCGCTGAGCAGAGCACCCTCACGGAGCTTGTCCACCAGTTCCTGCGGGTGGCGTTGCAAGAACAGGTGGATACACAAGAGAGAAGCACGACAAATCCGGTGAGCACCACTAATTACCAGACGTTTTTTGACGCTCAAAATGACAAACAATCGATATTAAAACTTGTTCTCGTGTTCTCTGTTTCAGGAGGACGTGTTGATGAAGATTATAGAAAGCTACATCCAAAGCAGAAAGTGATACAGAGGATGTCAGGCTCGCATGAACACGGATCCGAGGTCACCTGGCCTCATGGGTTAAAATAAATACATTAGACACAGTTTACTGTCTCTTGCTCATCATGATTGTAATTACCTGTAACTGTCATACTGTTCGTGTGCCATCGGAAATGCACGTACATTTATTTATTTTGATGATGATATTTGACATTGTCTTGTTGTTTAAAATTATTTTTATTAAATAAAATTATTATTTGCACTGCTCTGAGTTTGATCTGCTGCAGATAAATGATGACCTATTTGTATACATCAGGTTTGATTCACTGCAATCCTATAAGCACATCATTACTTCATTATGGCTACCACTGGGTTTCTGCTATTTGTTTATTGGAATATTGGTCATCAACAATGAACATTATAGAAAATATGTTATGGGATATATATGGTCTAAAAGCCTCTCCAATGAGAGCTCATTAAGGGCTGAACAAAAACATTACAAATTATATTTAATGGGTTAAAAAATTCCAGAAAACTTTTAAAATGACTGTTAAAACTTTTAAATGGATTGCAGCTTCTTTTTTTCTGGTACATGTGAACTTCACATCCCTTATTTATAGGTCCAACAACAACTCATTGTTCAGCATGAGTAAGATCGGTTTTTAACACAAAAATAACACTTACATAAATACAAATGTAGGCAGCTTATATCATTTTTTTAGATTCCTGAATACATGGAATCGATATCATCTTTTGTACCTCTCCTGTCCTTTGCATAAAGGGATGATCTGTTCTCTCGATCAATAGTGGTGAGGCGAGATGGACCAGTCCTTGCCTTCGGCTGATCCATTGTTCATTCTGGTATAGGCTTTTTTAATATCTCTCCCACAATGCGTTGTCTGATGCTTTACATCAGCTTCAAGATGAGGAATATGTTCTGTGTTCAGAGTAGTGAGTGGTGGGCGGACACACAAACAGAGAGTACTTATTGAGTTTTATAGTCTTGATTTCTATAACTCAACATATTTGGCCCTATAAATTAATCAGTCGCCAGCTTATTATGTAGACTACAGTTTTATGTATAATAACATTTTTAATAAAACAGTTCAACAACCAATCCATCCCTCATGGAGGTTAAACTGTTGCATTTCTGGACAAACCTTCAAGGCATTGATTTAACTTAGTCATCTTGGAGAATTGGTGCTGTTGAACAGTATTGCATTGCTCTAGGAGTTTCTAAAATGTGTCCAACACTTTTGTTGATTACAACATTTGAATATCATTAACTGAGTTCTGTCACGATCTGTCTGGGTTGTGTTTTGTCTTGTCTTTTTCTGTCTTTGGTTTCTTCTTTTATTTTGAAAAGTCTTCACCTCCTGTCTTGCCTGTTGCTGTCTGTCTGTTTTCCCTCCTACCTAATTACCCGATTGTGTTCACCTGGTGCCCCTGTGTTTTCTCCTCCCTCCTCACCTGTGTCTTGTTTGTGTGATTAGTCTTGTGTGTATTTAAGTTCTGGTTTTTCTGTCTGTCATTGTTGGTTCATTGTTTGTCTTTGACTGTGTTCTCGTGTTAGTGTTCTGTTTGTGCCTCTAGACCTTGAAATAAAGGTATTTTTTCAGTTTATTCTGCATTTGGGTCCTGCCTGCTTCACTCAACCGTAACAGTACGAACCAACCAATAATGGACTCAGCAGACTCAGATTATTTTGCTCTACAGTCGGAATGTCTTGGGTACTCTGGAGTACATTTTTTATACTTGGAAGGGCGCCATCTAGATGGCGTAGAGAGGCTGCGTTGAAGGAGGCACGTCAGGAGGTTGCTCGCAAGCCCTGGCTCAGGAGCATATATATAGAAATGTATTCATTGGGATACACCTCTTGAGATGCACCATCTCGTTTTCAAGGGGGTCCCGACAATAGCAACAACTTACAGACATACATAAACAAACAGACAAAATGCAAAACATGACACACAAGACAAACCACATACAGTCTGTTAAGTGAAATTCAAGCAATGCACACAATCATTACAATTTGAGACAGTCAAGCAAATCAGTTTCATCAATATCAGTTATAACAAGTACAGACCAGTTGAAAGTGAGATATAAATGCATGTTTAAATATACCCAATGATGCAAGAGATCTAATAGCAGCAGGTAAAGTATTCCAGTCAGTTGGGGCTTTAAACATGAACGCTCTTCTGCCAATCAATTTGTTTGCAGAGGGGACAGAGCATGTTGCCTGAGTGGCTACAACTTTTCACAAGTTGTCCTGAGGACTTGTCCGAAGCCTCTAACCCTTTCCTGGGGTATGGCCAGGCCTTGGGAGGCCCACGGATCCTCCAAAGAATCTCTAGGAGACGCAAGACCAAGATTCCAGCCCGTGCTCCAGTGGTTCCGGTTCCAGTGCCGGCCCACACAGCCATGTTTCCGGCCCCAGCAACCATGGTTCGGGCCCCAGTGCCGGGACCAGCAGCCATGGTTCGGGCCCCAGTTCCGGCCCCAGCAGCCATGGTTCCGGCCCCAGTTCCGGCCCCAGCAGCCATGGTTCCGGCCCCAGTTCCGGCCCCAGCAGCCATGGTTCCGGCTTCAGTACCGGCCCCAGTAGCCATGCTCCCTACTCCAGTTTCGGCTCCAGGACTGGCTTACCGGCCGACGCCAGCTCCCCGAGTCCTGTCGGCGTACCGGCCGACTCCAGCACCTCGTCTCCTGTTGGCTTTCCGGCCAACGCCAGCTCCCCGAGGCCTGTCGGCGTACCAGCCGACTCCAGCACCTCGTCTCCTGTTGGCTCTCCAGCCGACGCCAGCTCCCTGTGTCCTGTCGGCGTACCGACCGACACAAGTCCCCTCTCAAGTCCCCTCTCAGGTCCCCTCTCGAGTCCCCTCTCAAGTCCCCTCTCAGGTCCCCTCTCGAGTCTCTTCTCGAGTCCCCTCTCAAGTCCTCTCTCAAGTTCCCTCTCAAGTCTCCTCTCGAGTTCCCTCTCAGGTCCAATCTTGAGTCTCTTCTCGAGTCCTCTCTCAAGTCCCCTCTCAAGTTTCCTCTCTAATCCCCTCTCGAGTTCCCTCTCGAGTTCCCTCTCAGGTCCCCTCTCGAGTCTCTTCTCGAGTCCCCTCTCGAGTTCCCTCTCGAGCCCTCTCTCTCTCTCTCTCTCTCTCTCTCTCGTCCCCTCTCCAGTCACCTCTCGAGTTCCCTCTCGAGTTCCCTCTCAAGTCATCTCTCGAATTCCCTCTCAAGTCACCTCTCAAGTCCCCTCTCGAGTCCTCTCTCAAGCCCTCTCTCGAGTCCCCTCTCCAGTCCCTACTCAAGTTCCTACTGAAGTGCCGTTGGAGGTTACGCTGGGGGTCCTGCCAACTACATGTCCTGTCTCATTGGGGGTCCCGCCGACTACTCTCCTGCCGGGGGTCCTGCCAACCCTATGTTCTGTCCCGTTGGGGGTCCCGCCGACTACTCTCCTGCCGGGGGTCCTGCCAACTCCATGTCCTGTCCCGTTGGAGGTCCCGCTGACTACTCTTCTGCTGGGGGTCCTGCCAATCCTATGTCCTGTTCCGTTGGAGGTTCCGCTGGGGGTCCTGCCAGCTCCATGTCCAGTCCCGTTGGAGGTTCCGCCGACTACTGTCCTGCCGGGGGTCCTGCCAATCCCATGTCCTGTCCCGTTGGGGGTCCCACCGACTACTCTTCTGCTGGGGGTCCTGCCAACCCTATGTCCTGTGCCGTTGGAGGTCCCGCCGACTACTCTCCTGCCGGGGGTCCTGCCAACTCTATGTCCTGTCCCGTTGGGGGTCCCGCCGACCCTATGTCCTGTGCCGTTGGAGGTCCCGCCGACTACTCTCCTGCCGGGGGTCCTGCCAACCCTGTGTCCTGTCCAGTTGGGGGTCCCGCCGACGACTCTCCTGCCGGGGGTCCTGCCAACCCTATGTCCTGTGCCGTTGGAGGTTCCGCTGGGGTTCCTGCCAGCTCCATGTCCTGTCCCGTTGGGGGTCCCGCCGACTACTCTTCTGCCGGGGGTCCTGCCAACTCTATGTCCTGTTCCGTTGGAGGTCCTGCCGTCACCTGTCTCGCCGGGGGTCCTGCCAACTCCTGGTCCTCTTCCGTGGGGTATCCTGCCGAAGCCTGTCCCACCGGCTCCGGTTCCTGTCCGGCCGACACCGGGTCCTGCCCGGCCTCCGGTCTTCGCCCTCGAGCCCGGCCCCCTGAGAGCCGCGGTCTTCGCCCTCGAGCCCGGCCCCCTGAGAGCCGCGGTCTTCGCCCTCATGCTCGGCCCCCTGAGTTCGCCCGCTGTGGCCTTCGCCCCTCCATGGTCTCTGCCTTGCCCCCGGGCCGTTCGCCCGAGACCCCCACCTTGAACTCTGCCTTGCCCCCGGGCCGTCCGCCCGAGTTCTCCACCTTGGACTCTGCCGTGCCCCCGGGCCGTCCGCCCGAGTCCCCCTTCTCGGCTTCTGCCTTGCCCCCGGGCCGTCCGTCCGAGATCCCTTCCGGGTCCTCCGATGTGCTCCTGGGCTGTCCCAGACACCCTCCACCCACCCTGGTGGCCCTAGTTTTGTGTCTCAACCTCACCAAACATGTAATTTAAGGCTTTGTGCAGTTTCTCACTTTGGATCGAAGTTTACAAATAAACATCTTACAATACTGTTATTTTGCCACTTAAAAACGTTGAATTGCAGCAACCTTTGGTCGCAGAATATTGTACACAAATAGTTTAATATGCTAGAAAATTGTGTTCCCAAAAAAAAAAAAAGCACTTAAACTTGCCTCCAAAGCTTTGATGAGGAGAGGGAGCAACTCTCCAGCATGTTATTTGGTGTTACTTTTGGTCAAAATGTTCTTTTATGATAATGAGTTTAATCTTTTCCTTTAAAAAAGCAAAAGTTAAGGAACACACTGACATAGATTATTATTTTTATTGCTAGCACATACACAAGATGTACTGCGTATTTGAGTACTGAAAGAAATGTCATCTTCAAATGCAATCATGTCTTTAATTAATTAACTTGAAATGTCAGGCAGCTGCATGATAATCTGTTGCATAGTCTATGTGTTGATACAATAATTAATAGTTTGTGGGTGTGTGTGTGTGTGTGAATTAGTGAATACAACTATCCTCTTATGACTTAAAATGGCAGATCCAAACATGTTGCAGAGTGTAAATGGTTGAGGAGGATGATGACTTCTCACACTTTGACTGTGTCACAGATCTCCCATGACATATGCT